GTGGGTTGGGCCAGAGAGGTTTGGGGGGGGGGGCTCGGTTGCGTCCTGGAACACGGGCTTGAAAGGAGACCCTGGGGGCTCTTAATACACGTACAAGGTTGAAGTGCGCTTGGGCACCTTGCGTGAGCCGCGCCAGCTGATTCCCAGCTCCCTCCGCCCTTCCTCCCCCTCTGCACCAGGCCGAAGTGCAGCTGTGGGGCCAGCTGATTCCTAGCTCAGTCCCGTCTGGCTCGCCCCCCTGCCTTCCATGGAGATAGCACGGGGGGACAGGAGCCAGCTTAAAAGCTGGTTCCTCTCAGCACTGATTTCCTCCTTGCTGGGAGAGGTGACTAGTTAAGGGACTAGTTTACTATCCAATAAGCTTTGGCTTATCAGTAGTTGACTCGTTGCTTACATCCCTAGGTGACTATAGGGCAAGTCAGTTTACAGGCAATGTATATTGATAGCAAAGTCTGTTTCCTACTTAAGTCTTTCTGATTCAGTAACTTCTTAGGTTCAGAGGTACTGTCTACAAGTCCTATCCATTTATAGTGAATAAACATATGATTTATAAACAATTATAGAACATGTGTGCCTATCTCTTGGTACTTATGTGACTGCTCTCATATTGCCTGCCTTCTTGGAAAGAGGTTTCCATTCATTTAGAATTTAGTTAATTTGATGGGATATAAATGTAGATGAGGATTATTTACACACAATCTTTAAAAGTTTATGAATTATTGGTTTTGTAGGGGTGGGAAAGTGGCAGTAACTTAGTGGGGCTGGTTAAGTTTCCCCACTCCCCATCAAAACTCAGAAACCGCTGATATTTTGTAGAAAAAAATCAGTTGTAAACTTTGGACATACGTTAAAAAGACAAACAAACAAGGTGGTGCAAGGGAAAGTTTCAGATCTGAAGTATTGAATCAATAAATCTTCAGTTTAAATATATTTTTAGCTACAAGTGTGAAAAGAAAAATATGAAAGCATTTGAATTTTTTAAACTTGACTCTTTTGAAAATATTTCTAAATAAGATGGTGTAGGGGAGAGAGTATTGTGCAGTTTTGTAACAACAGGACAAATGGCAAAGAGCATAGGAAGAAACAAAGAAACATTTTACCCAGGTTATCGTTTAAGTATGGCATACCTGTAAGTGACCTCTTTATATAACACCACAGCTATGTCTAGACTGGCATGATTTTCCGCAAATGCTTTTAACGGAAAAACTTTTCCGTTAAAAGCATTTGCGGAAAATCATGCCAGTCTAGACATAGCTGTGGTGTTATATAAAGAGGTCACTTACAGGTATGCCATACTTAAACGATAACCTGGGTAAAATGTTTCTTTGTTTCTTCCTATGCTCTTTGCCATTTGTCCTGTTGTTACAAAACTGCACAATACTCTCTCCCCTACACCATCTTATTTAGAAATATTTTCAAAAGAGTCAAGTTTAAAAAATTCAAATGCTTTCATATTTTTCTTTTCACACTTGTAGCTAAAAATATATTTAAACTGAAGATTTATTGATTCAATACTTCAGATCTGAAACTTTCCCTTGCACCACCTTGTTTGTTTGTCTTTTTAACGTATGTCCAAAGTTTACAACTGATTTTTTTCTACAAAATATCAGCAGTTTCTGAGTTTTGATGGGGAGTGGGGAAACTTAACCAGCCCCACTAAGTTACTGCCACTTTCCCACCCCTACAAAACCAATAATTCATAAACTTTTAAAGACTGTGTGTAAATAATCCTCATCTACATTTATATCCCATCAAATTAACTAAATTCTAAATGAACGGAAACCTCTTTCCAAGAAGGCAGGCAATATGAGAGCAGTCACATAAGTACCAAGAGATAGGCACACATGTTCTATAATTGTTTATAAATCATATGTTTATTCACTATAAATGGATAGGACTTGTAGACAGTACCTCTGAACCTAAGAGGTTACTGAATCAGAAAGACTTAAGTAGGAAACAGACTTTGCTATCAATATACATTGCCTGTAAACTGACTTGCCCTATAGTCACCTAGGGATGTAAGCAACGAGTCAACTACTGATAAGCCAAAGCTTATTGGATAGTAAACTAGTCCCTTAACTAGTCACCTCTCCCAGCAAGGAGGAAATCAGTGCTGAGAGGAACCAGCTTTTAAGCTGGCTCCTGTCCCCCCGTGCTATCTCCATGGAAGGCAGGGGGGCGAGCCAGACGGGACTGAGCTAGGAATCAGCTGGCCCCACAGCTGCACTTCGGCCTGGTGCAGAGGGGGAGGAAGGGCGGAGGGAGCTGGGAATCAGCTGGCGCGGCTCACGCAAGGTGCCCAAGCGCACTTCAACCTTGTACGTGTATTAAGAGCCCCCAGGGTCTCCTTTCAAGCCCGTGTTCCAGGACGCAACCGAGCCCCCCCCCCCAAACCTCTCTGGCCCAACCCAC